AGCCGATTTATCTAATAATAACCCCATGTTAAGTGAATGGAGTTTTGAATTTGCATGTAAGGTATGCATGTTATATATCTATGGAAAGCTGAGAATCTTTACATTACAAAATCGAAAGAATTATTGCCATATCTCTATTAGGGGCCGAGATACAGCACTTTAAAGGCTGAAAATGGTCCATATTTAGACCCCTGTAAAATCGGAAATAGGTATCTGACCCCAAAGGTCAAAAGGTCATCAGATAGACAAGGTCACAAATTATCATCACAGTCAATATGAAGGTCATCAAAGGTCAAGGTCATGAGATATACGCCTTCAAACTTTGAAAAAAACAATCCGGTCGTACAAAAAAGGCAAAACCAAAAATCAAAATTATGCTGTCAAGGATTGTAGACAGACATTAAACGTATCGTTTGACACAAATGTTATGCAAATTGGATGAAAAATGGCCTCTGAATAGCAATTTCTGCAAAATGAGGCAAACCAAAATGGCGGCCAACATGTTACTTCCGGTGCAGATTTTTTTAGTTTAATAAGTTTGTATTAAGGCTGGTAATATAATGCATATGTTATTTTTGACATAACTCAATTTCACCGGAAGTGATACCACCGGAAGTACTAACATCGAAACCGGAAGTGATCAAAAAAATTTGAATGTGTACTTTTACGTCTCTATGCTGGCGGTCTACACCACGTAAGTTTCAAGTCAATCCGTCCGATAACAACCGAAATAGTATTTTTCCATTAATTTCGGCAAAAAAAAGTATGCAACGAATTTTCGAAAATCGAAAATTTTCAACTGCTATCATTTGTCCTTTATTACAAGAAATACGATGCAGAAAACCCGATCAAAATCGGTTGATAAACACGCCCTCTAGAGTCCATTTTCCGTTTGTTGCAACGTTGCGTAATGTTGCTCAGAAAATTTTCGTTTTACATTTAAACTGTGATTAGCCACGAGTTACAAAACGCCATGAAGTCCGTTTTTCCCTACCTATTGCCGTTGCCTAGAAAACCGGCCTGCCGTAGACGAAAAAAAAAAAAAAAAAATCAATTCGAAAACACAGCAGGGCATTCGCTTACGAACGCCCTGCAAAAAAAAAATTGACATTTCGACTTCAAACAATAAAACAAAGTAAGATAATCAGCAATAAAAGACCTTTTAAAACTCTTTTTGCATTAATAATGCTGAGTAATGGATTAGTTTGAATACCTTACACCATTTCCTACATGGTACCTAAACTTAAATTACCTGTTTTGTTAATAAAGCAAATCATTTTCCAGTGGTGTTTTTTTATTAAATGGATTCTTGGTAATCTGGATGCATTAAAATAGATTTTTCAGCTTAAACTAATATAAAATCAATCCTGTCAGTTTTGACAGCAAATCAAACAACACTGGGAGGCATTCATATATAACATCAAGGGCAATAACTTGAAACAATCATCAAAATACCACTAAATATGAACTGATCCAGTTTGTCATACACATAGTATTATTTCTATATCAGCACCACTGTTCAAACAAACAAGTTATATATGGTTTGAATACTAATAACCAGTATCATTAATATCCAATCAATCTAGTTGAGAATACAATAACTTCAATCAGAATCGTGAACAATACACTCTGTTTACACAGAAAAAACATCACCTTTATTATACTCATATTGACATCATTTTCATGCAAGCTTCATCACATTTTTAACATTTCTACTTGAATTCAATTTACTTATTGCATTACTCTTGTCATAGAGACATTCAAATACACATTTATTCAACTAATATGTTTAAAGATTATAAGATTTAGAAGAAAATAGTCAAAATTTGCAAGTTGCATGGAGATGAAGTGGAGCAACGAACCCTAACCTGGTGGTAGGATAAATCAAATTATTATTATCAGATTTTTCAACCTGGTTTCTCCCTGACAGTGGTGCAGGTATGGAAAAAGCATCTAGACTTTCATATGGGACAATAAGCTAAATCTCATGATCAACAGGCTGTTACTATCATTTCAGAGATTGGGCCTGTGCCATTATCTGAACAAAATTCATCCTACTAAAATCTTATTGGCATCAACAATCTTTATTAGCTTACCCAGAAGCAGAAAAATAGGATGCCATGAACTTAAAGACTCATTTTATACAATAATATGATATTTATCATCTTAAGTGCCTATAGCAAGGAGTGTTAATTTAACCTGTATTTCTGACCCCAAAAGATCTATATAAATGTAAAGCATATCGATTGGATATTACCAAGCCAGACAGGAGAATGAATAAATTGGAACAGTAAACATGATATGGAGTTCCAGTAAATGGATCCCTGGAGAATTACTGAGTTTCAACTGATTTTGGTGACAAAACCAGTTGATGTAATCAAAACAAATGAAGTAGAAAATAGCAACAGACAAGATCTATCATATTATTGGACAGACTGATATCAATAATTTATCTATTATAGTTTCCTCTACAGTAAGTTCCATAGTTTATACAATATAACCTGAAAAACTCTATAAATCAGTTCTCGAGTCAGTTCATATCAAGATAGTCACAGACACCTGATGCTAGTGCTCCATATGGCTTAATTCAGCATCCTTTCAGATGCATAAGTTTAGATGGAAAATTCATCCTAAAGATCTAGCAACATGTATTTTTTCTGAATATTATACAAATCTCTGCCTTAACTTCATATACAGGGTCAAGACTAACAGTAGGGTTTTTTACAATGGGACAATATTTATTTGAAATTCTTTTTTGTATATCAAAATACATACACAGTAATGTAATATATATATATAGAAAACTGTTCATTAGCTCTTTACCCAGACACAGTTTTATGATAGCATCACATTTGGGTTGTACGTTACAAGCCATGTAAACCATACAGATTTACAGACTAAATTAACGTCTGCTGGGAGATAGGCAGATTGTATCAGACCTGTCAATGTCATTAGTAAGAAAAGGAAGTTTCAAACAATGGAAACATTTGCTTACTTTTTTACATACCTCTTCGGTCCAGCTACTAGAAATTAAATACTCTCATTTACAAACCCAGCTGTCATAAAGATTGATGATCCTAAACATGCTTCAACAGAATATGATGAGCTCTTGATAATAAAAGATCAGATGAGTCATGTAGTATGATCTTCATCTGTAACATGGAATGAACAATTTTTACCTTAAATACATCTTAGAGATGTACCTTGATAATTTCACTTCCTTACACAAATTATCATGTAAAAATTTAGCTTTATATAATATCAAAATGTCGCTAATGGAGTCGCTAATTCTATTTCCTTTAACATTTACAACTGAGAGGATTGGAGGTGTTAATAAAACTTCTTTAATAGATCATTTGTCAAACCTACACACATCAACTAAAACATTTAGTCAATATAACTTATACCAAGTCCAAAGACTTTGAGGTACTGAAATAAGTATTGTGACAGGTACATGCTGCTAGAAAAGCAGGGTATGCTACCAGATGATACCTATTACCTCTCTGCAAATTCAGTTAGTCACCATAGCTCTTATTCTTTATTCTCATGTAGAGTACCCACAAGATGATAAATAGTAATTTGACCATATATTAATTATATTAATCATAGACTGTCCTAGGCTGTATCACTGAAAATAAGGATTTCAATTCCAGGCAGGCCTATTTTTAGCTTTAAAAATAGGACAGTCTAGATGATGAATTTGTAGAATTACAGGATAAGCAGATTTTATAATTTAGCTAAAAAAGCTGAATTTGAAACTATCAGCTGCACAGGCAATGAAATTTACCTTCAATTTTTAATTCAAAACTTCAAAAAAACAAATAGGAAGAGACTGAATCCTTAATTAAAATCCATAATTTACACAGCAAAACAACTGATTTCTATATTCTTGCACTGAAGTGAATAGAAGACACCAGTGTATAAGTAACAGTCAACAATAGTTGATAATGACCTATATCAATAGAATTATCATAATAACTCAGAACTAATTATCAACTTGGTTATATATTCAGATAACACTATATTAACAACATTATCCTGTATTAATGTGTTGTGGTTTGTCTCATGGAGGCCAAAATAACATTCCATCTCAACAGACAATCTTCTGGTCATCTTGCTTAACTCTGCAGAATTTTACAACATGATTTCTCCCTGTCAAAGATGCAGGTCAGAAGGTCTGACAAGCAAAAGGGCTTGTTGTTAATCTTAACCTTAGGTTCTGTGCCCTATGGGTTGTGCACATTAAAGTTACCTCGACAGATGAAAGTTGAAACAACGTGGGCTAGAAAAAAAAAAATGAAATGCAATATTTTTGGTTACATTCTATGATGAAAATATATAGAACAAATCTAGAAGTATTTGTAAGAGTCTTGTTATAAATATTAAGACGGAGAAAATACAGACCAAATTGATAGCAGACATTTCATCTGTAAATTAAATGGAAGAAGGAAGTGGCAGACTAATGACCTTTGTCTGCAACAAGGTGAAAATAAAACAATCTATTGAACACAAGTGTTTCAGACAGTTTTTTTTCAACAGTAAGTATAATATAATTAACATCTAAAAGTTCAATGGGTAAAAGCAAGGAAATGTTTCAAATCAAAAGATTCAACTTTTTTTCTATCTCATACACACCTCAAATCAGTGGGCAATAATAAATACACCAACCAGCAAAACAAAACAATCTGTTATATTGAACCCTATTCAAACATATTCATGTATGAATCTAAATTGTCTAAAAACAACAAATATACACATATGATCAAAATGGCTAATAGTTGCTTATAGTGTCCAAATTTGGAGACATCAAGTCTTTTTCACACCAGGTCACTATAGAGTGTTCTCTTCTTGGTCCGAACAAGGCTGTGGTAAAATTCAAGTGGTTCTTCAGTTGTAAATAAGAAGAAAATATGTAGAAAATGTGGAACATGATTTAATCGGAACCCAAGATCAATTACTGAAGAATCTTGATGTGTTGGAAATTGAAAATGTTTACTTACAATTTTATAACTTAAATCCTATTTTCAGCTTTACATTGAGTATCTTGAATTCTGGAACGAAAAGAATAATGGTAAGAAGAGATGTAACAGAGCAACAGTAAGTAACTGTGAAGTAGGTAATGTTTATAGAATTTATCAATAGTAATAATAAATAGTATACTTGTATTAATCAATACTAAGTCAAGTTTGTAACCAATATATAACATTCTGTTCAATTTTCATCTCACTAATAAAATCAACATCTAAATATAGACATGAATTAATAGTTTGAAAAAATCAATGATAAACACATATATTTATCATTATTTAGAGATAAATTTCACTTTCTTTTAGTTACTTCATCATTCCTAGACTAATAAATCTCACATTATACTTTCAATTGTTATCATTTTCACAAATAATTCTTTCACAAAGATGTCTTGGAATTTCCTGAACTGTCTGTTAAGTACTATTAGTGGTGATACATATTGGAATTAATATTGATTTAGGTATCGTTTTCAAGTTTCCCTGATTTTCTGGTCAGTCAATACATCAATCTGTCAGTATGCAGTTTGAATTCCATCTATCTGTCTGAGAAGGTTTGTTTACAGCTAAACAAACATCAACTTGCTTGAATTCAATTGATTTTAAATTTCTCTGAAACTTTATAAGACTTATTAGCAACATTAACCATGCATTCAGTTGTCCATTTTAATAAAATTTGTTTTCATGCATCGTTTTGTTTTCCCCTCAGTTACCTATTGATATGCAATGACTTATGTAGTAGAAAACAGCAAAATGCTATGAAAGTCTCAAATTATTTTTGTTGGCCATTTCCAGATTCTGAAAATACATCATTTTATTTTTTATTTTTTAAATCATAGAGAGCCAGACAAAAAATTCATATCATGATATTGTATTTTTAATATTTCTTAAACAAAAATATGGTGTGTCCTTTAAATTTCTCTTAAAAATGGAAAGCTATAAATTTTAAGCTGATATTTTCCACCTTTTTCGTGTATAAAGCTATTATCATGGTTGTGAAACATATATCAATATATTCATAATATCTTTTACATCGTAGTCTGAAAGAATATTTTTCTAAAAAATATATCAGAGAAAAAATATATTATGTAGATAATTATGTTTTAAACAACATGATGCATTATATAATAAAATATCTGTTTGAAGTTACGTTTTCAAAGTAACTCTGATAACTAGATATCTGTACACACCAAATTTCCAGTTTAAAGCTTGCTCTTTTGAAAAGAAACTAGCTACTACCACAGACATTGATATCATTTAACTTTGCATATTTTCAGGTAATGGCTGAAAATCTTTTAAATTCCAGAGGACAAAATTTGTGGTAAACTAATCTAGAAAAACTCTTCCTTGTAGTAATCATGTTAATGGTTCTTTTTCTACTGAGAATTTAAATTTGATGGTGAAGAAATAATTATCTAAATAGTCCCAAGGAAGTAAGACTGAGTGACTGACTAAAGAGAATTAAATTCATGATCCAAATTCAACACAATTTAGTTCTTTCGGATGGGGTGCCTTCAAATATAACTTGTCAACACTTAACAAATCAAAATGAATTAGCTGAAATAATTTGTATTTTCCATCACTTTATAACATGTACCCAAAAAATTTCACCGAATATAAACATTTTTTGTACTGTCACCTAAAATAAAAGTCGAAAGAACTTGATCATCAAGATTCAAGAATACATGTTACATGGAACAAAAAAAACGTTTTTAAATGAGGCCTTAGATATATATCACAATATTCTGTGAAAGGCTTGATGTCAGTCATCTTCAAATATACATAGAAATATCATGAATATTCTAAAACTAGTATAAAATGTCTTGATCTATATCATACATTAATATTGTCAAATCATCAGTAAATGTCAAAGGCTCCAACCTAATTCCTTTCCAACTTAAAAAAAAAACATCTTAAATTGCCAACCTCTTTTCCTGCAATTGGATTAGAATTTTGTTACAAGAAAACTTTGATCAAATACATTGGAGGTTTAAATCGAACAGCTTAGCTCTTCCACAAACATATGGGAGTATCTTAATCAATATCATCTTCTCTACAAATACCAAGACCAAAAATGTTTTTTAATTTGATTTTTGACTTCAGCATCACATTAACTATTGCACTACATACTACTGGCTACATTTTTCACCATGTTGCATACATATTTAATCTTACTATAACAAAATAAATTGGATTAAACAATTATTGAATCTACATGTTTATACATGCAGAGAATACAGCAACATATCAGATGGAAAGTTAAAGTCTTTATTTGATCAAAATATTTAACAAGCATCAAAATCATGACAAGAAATTCATAAGCAGATCATTATCTGGTCTGACATGCTTGTTTTCAACAGTACAATTTCAGATTTTCAAAAAATTGTCAAACCAGAATTCAAAGTATTTACAACTGATGATTATTACTCTATTTGAATAACAGACTAAGTAGTTGCCTAAAGATTTTACAACACAAACCATTCCAATCATCTTCATTTATTTATCTAAATAATGACTTGTTACCTCAGAGAATTTTCTACAACAGTTGTCAGTTTTCCTTTGACATTTGTAAGTTGCTCCTAATTGAGTTAAGACTGCAAAAACATATTCTTTGTCTTCATATGATAAATAGGATGTTATGTTTTTACCTGAAGAAATGAATTTTGTAAATCCCTGTTTAATCTCTAGCTGTCTGCTACAAATACAATTCCAAATCATCAAACTCTCCTTCTTTACTACACAACTGGTAGAGTTTATAATCAAACTATTCTATTTACTAGAAAATATGCAGGAATCGGAGGCACAATGTCGATTGCCTGGAAGCTAGAGCAATCTAATCAATCAAGTTGAGCTCAATACCATATATAATGATTGGTACACACTGTAAAGACTGGATCAATAAATACAACCAAAACTACAAGTATTGGATAACTGGTCCTATATTCCATCAGTCTGTATACACAAACAAGCTAACATTTCTTCTTCTGTAAAAATAACCACCAAGATTGCTCCAAGCAGAAGACTGTTATATTAAAATGGCTGCAACCTTTACTAAAAGATGTACACCTATCTATCGTGATCATGTTAGAAACGTTCCAATACTCTCAGTACTATAGAAATAGTAGAGTATAGTCTTCATGCCTGACAACTAAGCAGAAATTTGAAGGTGATGTAAAGATTTCTATCGAATCTTCAAGGACACTTAAATGACAGCAATTTCTCCAATATCAGAAGTTCAATGAAGACTTGAAAACCTTCTAAAAGATGAATGAAGCACTCAAAGTAAAAGTTCATCAGCTGTATTGAAAGAAAGTCTTGCAATGAAGCAAATCGAAAAAAATGTATTGAATAATAAGCCATGTCAATGAGATACTCTTCAAACATATAACACAAGAAGTCAATAAAGTAAGTCATAGCTATAAAGAATGATATCATCAAGTATAAAATAAGGCTTATGTATAAAATGACATAAGCAATTACATGTTATTAATCTTTTTCTACATCATACACTCAAAGAAGTAAAGAGTCTTAAGGATCAAGAACTCAATTTCTAGGAGAGGCTAAAAAAACTACTACAAAACATGGACCTTTTTTGGGTGAATATAAAAGAGTCTAACGAATCTGGGATGGAGAGGGTGGAGAGGGTGAAAAAAGACTAGATGATCTGGAACATATGAGTTTAAGGGACTGGTTTGCCATTTTGGGGTGTTGATTTGGATATTGAATATATGTAAATATCCTTCTACTACTACTAGAAATTACACAAATCTCATAATTTCTCCAAAACTACCTCAAACTAAAAATAACATCTTTATATATGGCAGTCTCAAGAAAAGACAAGTTTTAAACTTTCAAACACTCATAATTCATGAACAAGGGCAATAATTCATACTTAATATTTTTTGATTTCGCTGATTTTCAATAGGGTTTATCCTTGGGTGATTACGAACACTCATACCAAGTTTCGTTAAAATCCTTCAAGAATTATGCCTTCTAGAGTTTTTACGAGCTAAAAATTGAACGCGTTTGCAAGAACAAGGGCAATAATTCATACTAAATATTTTTTGATTTCGCTGATTTTCAATAGGGTTTATCCTTGGGTGATTACGAACACTCATACCAAGTTTCGTTAAAATCCTTCAAGAATTATGCCTTCTAGAGTGTTTACGAGCTAAAAATTGAACGCGTTTTCAAGAACAAGGGCAATAATTCATACTTAATATTTTTCTATTTCGCTGATTTTCAATAGGGTCTATCCTTGGGTGATAACGAACACACATACCAAGTTTCGTCAAAATCTGTCAAGAATTGTGCCTTCTAGAGTGTTTACGAGCTAAAAATTAACAAGGGCAATAATTCATGCTAAATATTTTTCGATTTCGCTGATTTTCAATAGGGTTTATCCTTGGGTGATTGCGACCACACATACTAAGATTTGTTAAAATCTGTCAAGAATTGTGCCCTGTAGATTGTTTACGAGCAATTGTGGACGGACCGACCGACGGACATGGGTGACGACAATATACGCCCCCCATTTCATGTGGGCATATAAAAAACACATTTGATAATAACTCCTATGACAATAATAGATTGTGCAAAAACTTTATTTAATAACATTTTGTAAAACCATACGCTGTATTGAGTGTCCTATAATTTCAATCCATCAATCATCTTACATTATTTTATTTCTTGAAGGAAATTATTCCAGGACTTCATATCCTTACAAAATATAATTTTATAACAACCACCATAATCTAGTGAAAACAGAAACCATTTTAATGGTGTAACAAGTTGTAAAATGGCCATTTGAAGACAACACACTGTATAATTTACTATTCATTTATTCACCATAATTCTGGTTGGGAGAATTTAGAAGTATGAAGACACCATAATAATATTAATGGTTCAAATCTCTAGAGAAAAAAAGAAATAAAGGTATTGTGACAAAGATAAATTGTCATTCTCTATGGTAACAGTTTTAAGCTGATTTCTTCATCTTAAATTGGACATAATTCATTTTGCTGAGAAAATTTCACAAGCTGCCTTAATCACCACCTTGTTACTTTCAATTTATAACTCTTATTATTTTAAGCTGGAAGGCCAAGACTGATCTCGTAACTACTCCAGCAAAATTTGTCTTCAAAACTTCCGGTCATAAATTAATATGCTTTTGGTCAAAGAACATTCTTTCTTGAAACAATAGTTCTGGTATATAAAAAGGATAACATCAAGTCAAAGTTTAATTAAATGAATATGACTTGTTATTCAGCTCTATAGAAGTCATTAACCAGGAAGAAAAAAGAAAACTTGTACTTTTTTGGGATTGAAGTGACAGATGATTTCAACAGTCTTACTATTAACTTTTTCTGTCAAAGTTCCACCTTAGCGCTTGGCTTAAGTGATCATAGTTACAAAACGATCATCAGAAAAAGAAAATACACAGAAGTTGGGAAAATACTAGTCAAAACTGCAGAATATTGTTCCCTAAGCATGAAGGCTTCTTTTTATTTCTACATGTTATAACCCTAACTAGATTATTGAAAGCTATTGATATTTAAGACTGGAGTAATATAAATTGTATCATTAGTCATAGTAGTACCATATGGGGAGAAGTAAGATAATAAATGAAAGCTAGTAGTTATAGTAAGAGAACTTAATTAATCACAGGAAATCAATCCATTTCTTATTGGAAACTATGACCTTCAGTTTCTCAAACAAACAAGGAAAGATATTGGAGTAGCAAGAAGTATTATCAGCATGCAATCTCTGACAGTAGAATGACACTACAAGACACTTCAACGGAAATTAATTTTGAAGTAAAAAGAATCTATAACAGTTTTAGGCTATAAATATTTTATATGGGTTCATCCTCCTTATTTTTTACATTTCCTGGTCAAAGATATCATGACATTAGACAGATATGACAGGTTATTAGGCCTAAAGGGATGAAGAACAATTAATTTGTCTGGTGCAAAACAATTTGATATGCACTTCGTGTGTTAGAACTGATGGACAGCACTAACCTAACTAGCTTCAAACAGTAACTTATACAATGGTCCTGTTTCTTGATGGAGGCTAATTTAAAATTAATTACATCGGTTTATTTCAATATACAATTATCTTATAGTCTTTTAGTCATTTTAGCTTTCCATGGTATCAGTTTGTTTAAATCCCACCTTTTTCAGCTCTCACCCTAAAAGGAATTGTTTAAACCTCTCACACCCCAAGAACAATAGACATTCCAAACATAGTAAATTTAATAATTTTTCATTCAAACTAATTATAATACTCCCTGGGATCACAACCAGAGTAGGTTTATGGAGGTCAATTTGTGTCATTAATCCATTCTCTACCGATTTGTCTAATTTACTGATTCAAAGACAAATGTAAAATATCTTATTACCTATTACTTATAATTCAAACAACATAATGATTGAAATGCTAAAATCAAATGTTTATATTCACATGTAACTTAACTAAAGTCCTTTCAAATAGTTTATTTAGCATCTGTCATTTGTAAACTGGAAAATGTTTGTAGTAAAATGATAAGTGTAACTTCTTTAGTGTATTATGTCTTCTGTTTTATCTCAAATGAATTATCTTTTATGCAAATTACCAAGGTCGCGACCCTATTGAATATTCAGCGTTGCTACGTCATTCTTTTAAACAATGACTGCTCCAACAAATGCTGTCGGTCTGAAAAATAATAATATACTGTATCTTCCCCCTCCCTTCCAAAGAACATCCCATGACCCTTTATATATTTTCATTTCAAAAGAAATTCTTTCATCGAGGTTTTCAGAAGAGTTGAAAACTAAACAATGACTAGTATTAGGCCAAGACCTATGCCATTTGCATTTATCGTGCATCCAGAGTTTCTTGTAGCTACAGGCCAGTTTAATCGAGAGTTAAATCATAGGAGTGGGAGGTAACTCTTAAAATACTTGTCATTGTTTAGTTTTCAACTTTTCTAAAAAGCCCCGATGAAAGGATTTCTTTTCATATGAAAATATATAAAGGGTCATGGGATGTTCTTTGGAAGGGGGGGGGGGGGGGAAGATACAGTATTTTATTATTTTTCAGACCGACAACATTTGTTGGGAGCAGACATTGTTTAAAAGAATGACGTAGCAATGCTGAATATTCAATAGGTTCGCGACCTTGGTAATTTGCATAAAAGATAATTCATTTGAGATAAAACAGAAGACATAATACACTAAAGAAGTTGCACTTATCATTTTACTACAAACATTTTCCAGTTTACAAATGACACTTTACAGTTTAAAATAAACTTCTGATATTTATCAAAAAGGACGGTGGTTTATCATTAAAGATTTTTGGAAGATGCTAAATAAACTATTTGAAAGGACTTTAGTTAAGGTACATGTGTATAAACATTTGATTTTAGCATTTCAATCATTATGTTGTTTGAATTATAAGTAATAGGTAATAAGATATTTTACATTTGTCTTTGAATCAGTAAATTAGACAAATCGGTAGAGAATGGATTAATGGCGCAAATTGACCTCCATATAGGTTGAGCTGTGGCTGTTTCACGTCCACCTGATAAAAAACATACACCAGAAGTCCTTAACCAAAGATAAATTCTTTCTCCGCAAACAGTTTACCACAACCCTGATTGGAACCATGTTTTTCAGTTGTGTTTTCAGATCATTTCAATATCACAAACTGAAAAAATGAAATATTTGACAAAACAGAAGCACACTTAACATTTCCACAACACAGATTTAGCAACAGTGTTGGGAATTAAAAGGTATCTTGATGCCTAATTCTATTACTGAAGGCTT